ATTAATAAAAAAACAATATTAGATATTTTTATTATGGTCTGGATATAATATACATATATATATCTCATATATATATAAATATAATTATACGTGAATCAGTTTTGAAATTATTTTCATTATTAAAAGCACGTGTTCATTGACATCGTGTTTATTTTATGACGCATGCTCAGCGTGGTTTTACTGGACGTTCAATAACAGAGCTAACCGCTTTCGAAAGTACCCAGACAACTTTATCGATCCGTCAATTTGGTTCACGCGAAAGCATTCGTTTGAATAATTTTTCAAGAATTTTATATTATTTTTTTTCGCACAGTTCATCAAAATCACGATAAATATTCGTATTGACAACAAATTAAAAATAACAATAATACGTTGTATCAAATTTCGATACAATTTGAATAGTTTCACGATAAGGACATCATGTTTTATTATTTCATTGATAATATTATATTATTATTTCATCAGATATACGATATACAAGTTAAACATGCATAGAATACTTATGATAATCAAATAATAAAAAAAAGTTTTGAATTTCCCAAAATTCTAAACATTTTTTTACTTATTATACACTATTTGTATGCACTATACTTACCTACTTGTTTCGCTTTGCAAAAAGTAAGTATCGTTGTTAGGCCAAATAACAAAACATAAAATCCAGTAGTCAGTTTCATGCGATATGCACTTTCGAAGAATTTCCTTCTTCCTTCTTTCTCGATGGACATACTGTTTCTCTTTGCATATCAAAACGAAATATTATTCGAGTCACTACACTGAAACTTGGTTTTGATGGTAATTTCGTATCGAAAATGGCTGGAATTTCCGTACGATGGAAATTCGTTCTTCTTGTCTTTCGGCATTTTGTTTCATAAGCATGATAATTTTGCGTTGTGCGTATACAAATGCAGGGGATCCAATGTCACTGTAAAATGAAGAAAGAAATCAATCGAGACGCCCAGTGCATTCGTTTACGGTTGAACCGGTGTGAACGTATTTACGTGCGCTCGGAAGATCGATAAACTGACAACGAGCGAAGGAGAAACGCGCGAATAATAATCTACGAAGAATGATTAGCGACAGAAGCAACGTCGCTACTAACTTCATCGCTAACGCTCGTAACGATATACGTATACGTACCACCACCTGCGGGGTGAGACGTTATAAAGTAACCAATGACTCTACCGTACTTGCAAAAGCGCAGGCGTGTAACGTGTTACATCATATTCGCGCATTTAAAATAACGAAAAATTTTCAGATTTTTTATTTTCAAACGATACAATATATTTTAACATTTCTTTCTTCTTTCATTTCTTATTATTGGAATTATAAATTCATTTTTGATATTATTATAATTATGGATCAATTAAGAAAAATAATGAAATTAGTAAAATGTTTTTTCATAGACAAGATATTTTGTGATTTTTTACTATATGTACTTTGCTTCGTTTAATACGAACTTAAATTGTTTTTACAATTCGGTAAAAAATCAATAATTTTTATATTCGTATTGGCTTGTTAAAAATTGATCTGTCAAAGATATATATAAAACGAATAAATCAAAACCTTTTATAAATAGTTAATATATGACAATCGCTTATTAAATAAGCAAAATTCAATGTAATACGATAACAATAATTTTTTTTACAAATAACTCAAGAATTTAAAATCATTAAAATTGATGAAGAATCTCCATTTCAGATAATTATGTCTTTAAAAACGTAATAAAAATATCTTAAATAAATTATAATGTTAGAGTTCTCTTCTTATACATCTCTCTGCGATAAATAAAAAAAAAAATTGTATACAAAATATAATATAAAATATATATAAATATAAATATAAGATATACTTATTTTACGACATATTATTTTATAACGTATAAAAATTGAATCGAAAATGATTACAATTTTCAATTAATAGATTTGATAAACAGTAAAGTTAATCATATATCGTATCTCAAGTGCATAAATTTTGCAAAATTATTGACGAAAAAAGCAGATATTGAGATAAATAGGGTAAAAATTGGGAAATTAACGCCATCTCTGAAGTGCCGTAAATAAAATAAATAGATAAGGAAAGCAAGCAATAGAAGAAAGATAGAGATGGAATAAAAGTGACTCTCAACGACATCTCTCGAGTATTAAAAGTATCATTGAAAGATAGGATAAAATAGAATTATGAATACAAAAAATACTCAAGAGATGGCGTTAATAGTAAATTTTTACCTTATTTCTCCTATCTATATCTAGAGATATTAGAAATGGCGCTAACTTTTGAATTTTTAACATATCTCTGTTCTCCTCATTATTTTATTTTTTTTATTTTACAATACATATCGGAATATATAATTACTAAAAAAATATCTATTCTATTTTATTCGTCCATGTTATCTTAATTACTATACTTTTTTTTTTAATTACTGAACGAACTTACTGAAAAAACATTTTCTCATATGTAATAAAAGTAATTTTGCAAGATATAGATACATGTATTTATTAACTAGAATATTTCAGAATACAGAAATAGTATATTTCAAAATTATTCATTCATAAAATCTTTGCTTGACTTTTGACAAAAAATATATATCACAATTAATTCCAATAACTCTCTACATCAAATTGAAAAATCATCTATTTCGAATTCAAAGGATAACGTTTTTAAACAATTTAAATAATCTCAAATAATTCAAATTTCTACATCCATACAATATAATTCAATAATACTTTTGAACATCAAAACTGAATTAATTATAAAACGAGATATATCATTTTTCCACCGTATGAAAACAAGTACCTTCAAGTACCATTCGTTACTATTATACAATTAATTGTAATACATTTACATTGTACAATATCAAACCTCAATATATTAATTTTATTTGATCTTGTTTCTTCTCGGCTCGATTGGACATTCCATTTACTTCTCGATTACCTATACGTAAATATATAAATTTTCCGAATGTATCCAACAATGTATTCCATCCATGTCGAGAGTTTTGTTATTCCGATCTAGCAGTCCAACGCCAGGAGAAATCGTGAAAAGGAACGATCTCCTTTTCGCAGAGTTCATTAGCGCTGTAAATTAGTGCCTATACTTCAACGAGTGCAACGGGCAAAATGAATCGATGAGTTCGATGAGCATTCATGATGCGTCTGTACAAAAGGAATGTGACCCTTCTACAGCGTCTCGATACTCATTGTTGTTGTTCACCGCAACCGCGTGGGTGCGGTTCAATTTCCGTCCGTTTCGATCCAATTTTGTTTTACGTAAAAAATTAATAATTCCGATTTAACTCGATTGTTAATTTTTTGATAATGTAAATATACTAATTAAAATTATAAAAGGTAATAATTTATGGTGATTATGATATGCTTACAAGAGAAGAAACATATTTTTCTATGAAAAAAAAAAAAATTAATTAGCTTTTCATTATTCGTTCTAATCTAATAATCAATTTGTTAACGAGCATGAATAATATTCTTCCAATTAACATTTAATCGAAGCTTGATCAAGTGCAATTTATGATTACACATGGTAAAAACATGCGATTCATTCCAATTGCTTTACATGTTCTAAATAATATCGAGGCTCTTTCTCACGGACATTTCTAACAACAAAGTTAATCTTTTTCAAGTTACTTTCTACTTTTACCCTCCCCCGCGCAAAATTCGTTTCAAGACTTTCTCCCCATCCTTCATTTTCCTCCTCGTTTTTGACCGCGGACGGACATTTATTAACATGCCATCTACGATACTCGTAGATAAAGCACGCACAAGCAAGGGCTGGAGGGGTGGACATTCGTCCCTGCCTGCCTGCCTCGTATTTCTATAAGGTCCTGTTTTATCTCTCTCGAATTCCTGAACGCCAACTCATCGTGACTTATTGCGTTGTTCATGTCACGTCAAGAGGGGCGCGTCCACCACGCATTGATTTGTGCGAATCGAAAAGCGCGTATTTCATGTAAATGAAATTTCTCGCCACCCTTTTCATCTATAAACTATCTTTTTCTTTATCTTTATATCTTTCAAATTAGATAGTAGTATTATATCGGGAATATTATATTGAAAAGTATGCATGAAATTATTTTCAACAGTGTTTGCAACATTACCAAACTTTTATCACAGTATTGCATCTTGTAATTTGTTAAATGATCTTTGAAACGGTGTTACTTGTAAGCAAATCGTGTTCGAGGTGGTACTAATTAAGAGACCGTTAGTCGCTGCTAAAACTAGATTGTTTATCCAAGTGTTGTGCACGCTAATTTTCACATAGGAAGTGAAGTTTATATAAGATACGAAGGATTAAAACGAACGATGAACACTTATTGGAGAGAAAAAAAGAAAAGAAAAGAAAAGAAATTGTGCGTTAAGGAAATAAAGAGTTGTACATATTCCTGCTCTTTTTTTTCCCCCCCTCTTTTAAAATTATACGCGTCGAGAATAGTAATCAATTAGAATAGAAACTTTGGTTAGCATAGTCGATGATGCCTCTCTGATTCAATTTTATATATATTGTTTATAAATATCGTCGACGATCTCTATTTTCCAATTCCAATTTACGACTAATAATCGATAATTCATCTTTTGCACTTTTAAACACAAGAAATAATTCTCTCTAAATATCCATCGACAAATCCTCAACTCCTTACACCTTTCCTCTTTTCGAAAAAAAGATTTCTCCCTTCTTATCCCCCTTCAGATCTTCAGAATTTTCAATTTCCAAATATTTACCGATTTCACTTCACGGGAAAATAATTCAAGAGAAGAGGAGCACTTTTATTAAAATATTTCCATCTCCTTACCTTTCTATCGATTCGAATATACAAGAATCGATGAATCCTCGGAGCATCGGCTGTTAACGACTTGGAAAGGACGCGTTATCTCCTCTGGAAATGGAATTTCTGCCGCGATCGGCCTGCTTCTTTTGCGCCTCTCGGCTCGAGACGATTTCGAGAGACCGGTTTCGCGAACCTGGCGGCGTCGTTCCTCCTCTCCCGTCGGGCAAAGTAGGGGAGACAGAGGAAATGCGATTACGCATGCGTGTATACGTTCCATACGAAAGAATCATAATTTATATCGAACCGGTCGTAGGTGGCGCGTCTCATTAAGGAGGAGGGAATGATCGTGGACGAATGAACCGGCCGTCATGTGGGTGGCTGCGATTGCACAGGCCGACCATGTCCGGGACGAAAGTGAAATGTTCCACTTGTCGTTGTTCCATGATAAATTTGTTTTTCATCCGAAAAGTTGTTAGAGAGATTGGAATTTAGAATGTGTAACGTGCGTTGTTTATTATTATTATTATTATTAAAAATAATTTGTGAAAAAAATATAAATGGAATATCGATGAAATGTTTTATTAATGCATAAATTCATGTTTTGAATTTGCTTCTTTTTGTATGTTACATACATACAACAAGAAACAGTTTTTAATTGTAAAAATAACGTGATGTACATCGAAAAATGGCTAAGGTTTCTTATTAAGTTTATGAAAAATTTATCATTTATATATATATTTCATTTCATACATACATGAAACGAGTGTTTTTAAATTAAGAAAAAGATGAAATGTTAAGAGTAATCTTCATACACGATTTGAATAAAAATATTTGCTTGTACAAATATTGCAATACAAAGAATTTATTAGGCATCTTAATCTCGTTTCGTGCAATCAAACATTGGAAGTGACGCAAATGAAATAAAAATATGATAATTTTATTGATATGTGATTATATAATTATATACGTTTAAGTAATTGGAAAGAACTTATAATATGCAAATTCTACGTGTATTTTTGAATAATAATAAAAATCTAAAATCTTTCATGTTTTAATTGTTATAACAAAAGATCCAGATATTAACAATTTGCTGGATAAACTATGAATTATAATTGTCTATCTTTTTCCTAAATATTTTATACGTATGAAGAAAATTTTAGATATGACAATTAAAATTAAAACGTAAACGAATCAATCATTTATATCTTCCATTTGTAGCTTCGTTATTGTAAAAATGATTCTCTCATATAATATTCTTTCATCGAAAAATTAATAAAGTTTGCGTATATTTTATCATCAAAATTAAATCGAATTGATTTGAAAACTACTTAAAACTATTCAGGAACAACTCGAAATTAGTTGGAGTATTGTTTAGAACAAATTCGATTATAATTGAATCAGACGATTGATCGTAGCCGAAATTTCTCTGATCAGTGATTAAGAATGAAAATGAAAATTTGTCAATAATTATGATAAATAACACAGGGTTAAATTTTTGTTGATAGTATCTTTGTATTTGTGAAATGGTGAAAAATTTTTTTAATTATTGAAATATCTGCGAGTATATGAATCTGCGATCAAACGAGAATTATTCTATTCAGAATAAAAACAATTAATTAACTAGAATAAACAATATTTAAATAGATTTGTTATAGAATTGTAATTATTATAATTGGATTTGGTTATTCAAAGATCTTGTTATAAAAAGAGTAAAAAACCTGCTCCCTGAGACTTATTATATGAATATTTAATCACGTCGCCGGCCTTCGATTTTATTGTGCCATCAATTTAGAATTTTACACCACTTATTTTTTTATTTTTTCTTTTTTTTTTTTTTTTTGTTAACTTAATAAGTCTAAGGTGATCGATTCAAAACGATCGCTGTTTCAACAGGAGAAAAAGGAAAAAAAAAAAATAATAATAATAATGGAAATAGAAAGAAAAGAATGTAATAAGCCTGCAAGAAATTGTTCAAGGTAAACGTCAATTGGTAAGCACGACCGATTCTCCCCTCCTTCTTTTACCCTTTTCCACGGCTATGACAACTTCCTTCATCAAACCTCCTTCTGGAACATCGTAGATGACGTGAAAGTGAGGGGGACAGTGGTGCTCAAATACCTAAAAAAAAAAAGAAAGAAAGAAAGAAAAAAATATTTCGGGATGGAAATATCCAATTTAGAAAAGAATTTCTTCTATCTAAAATCGTGCGAATATTAAATATAAATATGTTTAATAAAGATTAAACGAATTAAATTAATAAAAAAAAAAACACGCTCAAAAAACGGTTCGATATTCTGGAAAATTTCTTAAAATTTACTTCGTAACATCTAAATACATTTTTATCGATTTTCAAAATCATCGATCTAATAATAAACCATAAAAATTAATATTCTAATACTAATCCAAGAATTGATTACGAACAATAACCAAAAAAAAAAAATCGAACAAAAAAAAAAGATCGTTGAATCGGCTATTCACTTGTTGTTGCGTGGATGCGAATCCTTTGAATATCATTAAATCACACGAAACGCGGGATGTTTTGTTGGTGGGAAGAAGGATTTCACGGCGAATATATCGTCACCTGCTTCTTCACTCGTACGGTTTGAAGCCCGCTGACACCTGGTGTTCCTCGAGAGTTTGGTGAACACACTTTGGTGGGGTCTGGGGAGTTCGAGACGCGTGAAACCGAGAGAGACTTCAGTTGTCACTGCGACACCAGCGGAATAACATTGTGTCGTGCAACATTCCATGCGGTTAATTTAGATTTAAAATTCTTCAATCATTCAATTATTGCCTTTAACTGATCTTCATTCTTAAGTTTCTGAAAAAAAAAAATAATATATATATATATCGCTAAGTTAAAAGTATTATTTTTAATCAATTTTTCCGCTATCACTAGTGTAGCATTCAACAAGTGTTTTTCTTCACCTATCCACGTGCTTTCGTGCGATTATTTGAACAGAATTGATTAAATAAAATAACGTCGTCACTATTGATCGAATCGTTTCTTTTCCATAGAGGAAATAATTTAGTTAACATTATGATAAAAAAATTTTACATTACATCCCCCCTCCCCCTCCATTTCTTTGCTCAAGTTTATTCGATCTGATTTTCTTTTTTTTTTTTTTTTCTTTTCTTTTGATCAATAGTGAAGAGTGGAAAAAAAATTAGCCAGTGTTTTTCGAAATACAATATACAACGCGAAGTGTAAATTCCAATTTTGAAATTGGGACACGAACCGTTTTTAATAAATCTCTCGAGGAATATCTCTTTGGAAAGAGAATCAATGGAGGATATAATTCTTCAACAGTATTAGGTATTTATATTTACGATGCTTTACTTTTTTGTCTTGACAATGTTCGTTAATTCTCGAAATTGGATAAATTGAAATCGAACACATTTGTGGAAAATTTACTGGAGTGGAAAAATAAAAGCGCGAATTCGCACATTAGGTCAACAATTGTACAAGTATCATAAATGAGAAAAAACATTTGTTTTGTCTGATAAACCGTACGACGTATCATTAAAAATACAAGCCTTCTGATAGAAAATTCACTTAACTCATTAAGTGATCGAGCATATAAATGTTAATTTAATTAAAATTAAATGGAACAATGTATTAGAATAATAGATATTTTACAAAAGTAAGTGTTAAATTTGCTAAAAATTAAGGGAAAAAAAATTTCTATGATTTAAAACTAGTAGAATATTTCAGCTTGTTAGAACATCTATCAAATTGTAAAATAATGATGGAGGATAAAAAAAAGAAAAATAATTAGAAAATTCTTAAAATTCTCTTGTATAATCTTTTTATAAATATAATAAATTAATGTAATCAATGATCAAACATAATTGGCTGAAAATAATTTGCGTCAACAATCATTATTTTTTCTCTTTCCAAAACAAAAAAAAAAAAAATACTACTCGTTTCTGGGAATTTAATTATGCTTATTATTTTTTAAAAATAAACTCATTTTAAATAAATAAATAAATAAATAATAAGAAATAACATTAAGAAATATTCCATTGGTTAGAAGGAATAATAAACGAAATAACAGAATATAATAAAGATTAATAAATTTCCATTTAGAACGTTACAAATGGCCGATCCGTGGCCAAGATACGAAATGTTACGCTTTTCATTACGCACATTTCGTGCGCATTCAAAGACACGGTGGCATCCTTCCGGTGATATTGCCTCTTTTAAAGTTCATTTCGTATGAAAGAAGGCGAACAATAGCGGTGCAAAACGCCGCGATATCGCACTTTCAGGCCTTGATAACAGTCGCACGTTCATGAACCCTGGGAACGTTTGCTTTTGTTAACTGGAGAATTTAATTAGAAGAACAACATTAAGTTAAGCACGTGCTCAACATTTCTCGCGTAAACGTAGCGAATTAGCGGCCACGAATGCGTCTGGAATGCGTTAAAATTATTTGCCAAAGAATTTTCTTAAAATTCTTTCCTCGTGAAACGTCTCGTTTTTTTTTTTCTAACCAAATTATCGATTTTTCGATCGATAATGATAACGACAAGAAAGTCGTTCGCAGTTTTCTGAATTATCTTATTGGAGTATATTTAGACGTATACTTTACATAAGCAAAGTCACCAAGATCTGATATAAAACGAGCATGGTCGTGCAGATTTACGTTTTTTAATGACGTAATGCGCACGTTTGCGCTGCGAAAACGCCGAATTGTCATCTGAGAAATTGTACTGGCTCGATCTAACATCGTTTCGATCACATTTCCCGTTTCTCTTTATACTTTTTTATATATCCGTCGAGCTGTTACAATTAGTTATATTTATTGTTAATTACCGAGCATTGGAATAAATGCAAATTTGAATATTAACGTGCGCATGAGGAGGAAGAAAAGTTTTTTCTCTGAGCTGCAATTATCGTTGCAATTATATTGTCTGTCTTTTTTTTTTTCTTCAAGTTCAAGAAAAAAATAAGGAAAAACGGCGGCGCACGCTGTTCTTTGATTACGGTTTATATATATTTTAATACCGTAGGCGTATTATGAACGATCAATTTTTGAATTTTTACGAGCGAATGAAATGTTCGACGTAATCCTAATTACATCGAGAATTCTTCGAATTAATTAATACATTGATCTAATTTAAATTTCTTTCCCGCATATTCGTCGATATTCCATCTATTTCTAAATCCTGTTTTTCCAGTCGTTCGATTTTCCACCGATATTTCCACAGCATCGCACATTTTGCTCGAAAATTTTTAAAAAAGTTTCAAAATCAATTAGTTACATCACAGCGTCTATTTGCTATAACAGGATCCACATTGCAGGGATTAACTTGTCCTAACTTGTTTGATATAACATCTCGATATGAATCACGAATATTTCACTTCATTTCCTGAAACGAACGAAGTGTTTCTCATTCGAGCAAACGTGTTTATGTAACGATAATTCAAAATAATATCATAGAAGATCATGTAGAAAAATGTTTTTTCGATAATTGCAATTAAAATAAAGTACGAGTATTACTAGAACCATCTAAATAAATTTCGTGCGTTATTTATCGTTCCAAAATATATTTTGTTTCAGTTGGTATCATTTTTTGACGCGAACGAATCAAGCTAATTTTTACGCGATATATAAATAATTGTATTGTTTTCTTTTTTTTTTTTTTTCCTTTCTTTTTTCTTATATCCAATTGAATAATAGATGTATATAAGCGATTTTATTTAAAAAAAAAAAGTGGCGATTAAATAAATATCCTACAAATATATTATCATTTTCCCGTGTGGTAAGCAATTACGTAATCGTATGAATTTTCTGTACTCCTCATAGTTGGCAACACTATATGTATTTCGGTAGTCATCGTACCTATAGCATCACGTAACATACAAATAGAACGTGATAGACTCATCTCATTCCCTCAATTAATAATTAATAAGCACGCTTAATGATTGAGCATATTAAAAGCGTAACTTGACAAAAACTTACAATTGCATTTTATGATATATTAAAAATAGCATTATTAATTCATCCATCTGCGGATAAAATAGCGCAGGAAATAACTGGAAATAAGCGATAGTGGTTCCGTTTTAGTTCCTTAGCCTCGTTGCAAAGGTAACGAATTGAGGTTAGTTAATTATTCCGGCGTTTGCGTATCAATCATTATTCACAATTATTCCTCTCAAAAACGTTCGCAAAAAGAAAATGTTACGCGTTGTTAACCATTGCAGAAATACACGATATTACACGTGGAATTAAATGCAAATCTATTCTGTAAATTCGTTTTGCAGCTTCGAAACGTTACGAAACGTTAAATACGTATATTTCTATATAAGTTAACTACGCACCATTTAAATACATGTATATACAATTAGAAATGGTGATCAATGGTGATTAAGTAAGTATGATAATCGTGCCATTTTTTTTTTTAGGTGAATCTTCCAGAGTTCGGTAAACTCGGTAGTCACGGTGACGTGGCTGTGAGCGCCGCATAAAGGGGCTTAATGGAGAAATGACTTATTTCCAGCCGTAACCCGAACACCAACCCCGGTATAGGTAGGTCACATCATTGTACAGAGTCTCAACGCGCCACGGTTTTATTGCGTTGCGTACCATGTTGCGCAACGCCAGTCGGTATTAACTTTGGATCTAGTATCGTGAAAGTAAAGCCCCGCTCACAGGCGGCGAAGAAGACGAAGGAATTATTCGCTTTTCACCATTAATACAAATTTGTACGTAATGTAATTGCTTGTCAGAAAACAATAACAATAACTTGATTTTAAATTATTTAAATGTTAAAAAATACATAATTAGAATATTATGGTTAAGTAATAATTTATAACATGTTAATTATTAATAATCTCATTTATATTATTAGGAAACGGAATTTAATAGGTTATGATACGTGTGTAATATATGGAACGGATATTTAATCGAGTGAACTTTCTCGTCTCACGAGGTCTCGTAAAATCAACGACGAATCATGTTCGTAATTCCCATGGGAAAGAGTAACCTTTTTTTTTTTTTTTAAACGAGTTTGAAGGGACTATCTATAAAGGGAGCGTGTATTTGTGTAGTTTCTTCCAAGAAAATATTTCCCGCGCAACGAGGCGTGACGTTTCATTATATTGTAATTTCTAGTGATTCTCTCAAAGTTATCTGATTTCGTTAAACTTACACGTGAGAAATGTATTATTTTTAAATAAAATATATCTATTGCGTTGTATACATTTTCTTTTTGATATTTATAATAATTAAGTTTAAGTTGAAGTATTAATTTTGTTAAAATATTCGTAAGAGAATTAACCAAGTCAATTAATTAATTTTTAGAATTTAATAGAATTATTTCAAAATCCGTGATTTGATCAGGCAATCGAGTTAAATTCTTCTCATTATGTTTTCAAAGCTTCCAAAAATCAATTCCAATGATGTTCGAACAATCGAACGATACATTAAAAATTAAACGTGTAATGCTTTTCTCAAATAATTGATACAAATCGATCGAATGGAGAAAAGGATACGGTTATTCCCATGTTGACGATTTCTCTCCATTTTTCAGACGTTTACGGGGTGATGGATAGCAGGCGCACGTGACTGGTCACGTGGATAGAAGCGATCAGAGAAATCGAGGAACGCTGATCGCGAACGATTCTCCGCCTTCAAGTTTTCCTTCACTTTTATGTGGAAGGGAGAATTTGATGCGTGACTTATGTCGCATCAAAGGGGATTAAGAGAGAAATTTCCGTTCGATTTATCACACACGGATTAACTGTGTTGTGTGATTCACGCAACAATCGAACAAGGACGCAGGTGTCTTTTTTCCAAGAAGTTGAAGATTTATGATACGTATAATTTTTTTCACGTCATGAAGAAAAGTTCTGTTACGAGCTGACAAAAACGTTTAGGTATAAATTTAGAATGAAATATTTCTTTCATTTTCAAGATAATATAAACATTCCTATCTTTTTCAGTTTTAAATTCGTTTTAAATTTTTTTAATTGATTAATTTGCGCTGATGTAAAAAATATAAATATAATGTTGTTTGACAGAATGTAAAAATTTTTTTATACCTTTTTATATGATTTCAGAGCTGCCGAAAGTTGTAAGAAAAGGAAAGGAAGCGCAGGATGTCTAACGAGGTGCGCGCGCAGCCCTTAGACACGACGACATACGGTGGTAACATAATGCAGCCTGACGAGGAGATTCAGTACGCGCCAAGGAGCCGTCCTGTTAGCTTTTATGATAACTTTAAGGTGAAACCTCGTGCTGTGTCACGTGTCATTGTTTACGTTCGTGTCTTATCAGTTGGAAATTCATTACATATACAAGAACGATAATACACGTATTAGGTGTGATCTAACATCATAAATTAGGATATTCAAATCAAAATTTTTAAAAATGATTCATTTTTAATCAATAATCTTATTTTTTCAACGAATTTTTGAAAATTTTTGTTAAATCATATAAACAAAGATGCTTGCTTAATGTTCTCACTCTCGTATTATGTAACTGTGAATCGTTAATTTTATCAATTAAGTAATTAATTCTTGTCAAGGCTTGTTGTTAAACTAACGGGTTTATCGCTAGTCTGACCACGAATTTAGCGAAAAAACAAGAGTGAAACAAACCGCAACGCACGATGTATGAGAATTAGTAAACACGTGTATAAGGAAGAGGTGCGGTTGTTGGTCATTGATGGTTCGTTATTGCCGAATGTGCGACAATGACGTGATTATATTGGAATTTTACATGAAATGGAATAGAAATACAAAATTCGTCGTCGCAATTGATCGATAAAACATAATTTTTAAATCGAACTTTAAAATCAATTTATCTTCATAAATAATAATTTCATATCAAATTTTTAATATCGTATTTTCAATATTTACAGTTACTATTTAAACTTAAATATAATTTCTGAATTTTTTTCATTCTTTAGGACGTGCCAATGGTGACACCTTGCGTGACTTCCGCACTAAGTGCTGACAATTTGAATCAAATTCGCGACAATGGTATCAATTCGTCGATGGCCACGGCCAATAACAATAACAATAATCGCGTGAATAGTGCAGTGAGTGCTGGTAACGTGACAAAGATCCAAAATCCCAAAGTGATAGGTGAGTTTCAATTTCTTTTTCAATTTCTCTCTTATTTTTTCTTCTTTCTTTTTTCAATTAATCAATCATTCGATGAAAATAATTAAACCAATCATTAATTTATAACATAACGAAATAAAACGAGACTGTAACGAAATATATGTAGCGAAAAATAAGATTATAAAAATATGGAATAATATTTTTATTTATTTTTTTCATTTTATTAATTAACGCAATTATAGTATTAATCAGTATCTATCTGCCGCTAGACAAAATTGGATAGCGCGCTGTCCTAGGAAAGTTTATTCGACTGTAAATAGAACGGTCACGAGTGAAATTCGGTCGACACTTTAGTGTTAGAGATATTCAAGTAAACTTTCTCGAATTTCATTTTGTTCGTGCACCATCACGGTGCAAAACAAAGCAGCATTGGAAATTTTGTGCGCTTTCTATACAGCCAGCAGTCATATACCTACCATCTTGATAACAACGAATACATGGCTAAAGTGAAACGTAAAAAAATTTCTTTTTAATTCATTTCGATTCGAAATGGAAGAAACATTAATCAGTCGATACAAATCTAAAATACAAATCTCAAATTTCTACCACGCTACAATTTTCCTTTCTCTTTTAAAATTTTTTTCTTTCTCAAATTCCATTTATCTCGTACAATTTCATTCTTATTTGGAAAGTTTACCTTCAAGTTTTTCTTCCGTGACGATTTATCATGGACAGGTGCAGTGTCGACAGGGAACATAGGCAAAATTTGTCGACTCGAGAAGGAGAAGGAGTTAGGTCGGGCCCCATCAATGGCCAATTGTTTGTCAACCACGGTCCCCGTTAATCTGGCGGCGTCTCAAATTGCTGGCCGTCACACGCCCACGAGGAATTCCCTTAGGCACAGCAGGATGATCGTACTGCATCGAAGCGGCCATCGTGAGTACTTTCCTCGCCTCATAAATCTTGCATTCTTAATTTATTTCACCAAGATTGATCTGCTTGTTTCTCGATAAATAACAATATGGATAACATTTATGGATAAATTGTTAATAAAAACAAAAATTATCTCTTGTTATCATTTTACAATTTTGCTATTATTATTTTCTGTTAAAAAAGTAGTATTTAATTCGAATGTAATTAATAATCTTTTATATATATATATATATATATTACTATAACAATGTTCATTTTTAATTCATTTCTTCGAAAAGTGATTAAAAAAACACTTACAGTGAACTTTATTATTATTTTTCAATTTATTATATATATTGTGTGACATCACATTATTATTGAGTACGTTTGTTTTTTTTTTTTTTTTTTAATAATTCTATAAAAGATTCGAGAATATTTAAATCTATTTTTATTTCAAATTGAATTTTTAAATTGAAATTAATAAATTAAATTGAAATTGAAAAAGATTATAGGTTCTTTGAAATTGTTCCTCGTAACTTCTGTTCAATAACTATTCTCAGGAATAGTCTATATATCGTTGTATCATGTTATATAACAATATTCCTATAAAAATTGTTATATAAAAATTTCTCTTTTTTAACTGTTCGTGAGACGTTAGACTATAGACATTTATCTTTGCAACATTTTTAACGAAAACAAAAATCTCCTTTATAGTCGAATGTTCAATAAAGACTTTGCAATTTTTTCGTTTTCATCTTGAATAACACGGACGCAACAACGCTCGTTGATTAACGAAATCAGAGAACAGGTATAATACGTGAATAAGGCTCGAATGTCACCAAGCGGCCTTTCACGGTGTAATAAACATTCTTTCGAACAGGAGAAAAGTACAATGTTGCTGTGAACGATTATTAATTTATATTCGTGATTCGCGTTAAATCTTCTCTTTCATGAAATTCTCAACACGGTTCAGATTTCAAATTTAAATTCGTCTGCTCTTTCTCCAACTTTCAACTCTCCGAAATTCAAATTATAATAATAAAATATTCGATTATTTTTAAATCTTTTTATCTCACTCTATTTACATACCTATCTTTATCGATACTTTTTTGTCCAGTTTTTTAACACATAAATATTTCCTGGTCTAATCTATTTTCAATCTGTGAAAAAGAATAAATCGAAGTTTTATCCGCGAAGAGCGTCCAATCAAGTCATTAAAAAAACGTAAAACGACTTGTCCAGGATAAGTCAATCTTTCTTGAGATTTTTTCAGCCATCGTCATGGCGCTGATTGCGTGACTTAGACTTTCGTAGACCTTGTAACGTTGCAGTCATAAATAAACTAATGGTATTGAGGCCAAGATAGCCAGGAAAATTACGATAAGATATTAAAGAAAACTTTGAAATTTCCTCATTTCGTTTCACAAGCAAAAATATTGGCATTTTTCTTTTAAATTATATATTATAAATTCAGTGTGTTAAGTTTTTACTGTGAAAAGTTTTAACTTTCATATTTTCTTGCATCTTTTAAATTATATTTCGTTCCTTGAATTAAAAAAGTTTAGCAATTCCTTCGTCGTTGAATAATTATTATTTTTTTTTTAAATTATTCGTTCAAGTAAAACGGAAGGTTAAAAGGTCCATCTATTATCGTGGTTTTAAAGTGGTTACACATGCTACTCCGTGAATAGCGGAAGTAGCAAGCCGGAAATGTATCATGTGATCTTTTTTAGAGTACGCTCGTTCACGGGTTGGCGTGCACGAACTTTAGGTGTAATTCTAATCATTTTTTCCGTTTTATTCACCTCGCTAATGCTACATTGATGCACGTATTGCGGTATAAATTTTTTTAAAACAAGTTGAAGATTTCTTCATATTTCATACTTTTTTTACTTAATTTACTTAATTGATCCAATTAAAGTTTATACAAGTTGAAACATATGACGGTCAACTTTCGAACAAAATAAATTTCAAAAAAAAAGAAAAAATGTCTAATATAAATGTCTTTGTGCAAAATATTTTTAGAAAATTTTTGATAAAATTATTATTGTTGCACAAAATATTCTCATGATTCTTAGGGATTCTTGAGAAAAAAAAATTCTTTTCTTACCTTCTTTTTTTCTTTGAAATGTTACACAAATAGCTTTGTTCAGAGTTTAAACGAATGAATTGAAACGTGAGAATTTAGTTTTCTTCCATGTGGTGAAGCTTGGATTTGCTTCATCCCCATCATCGTCGAATTCTATTTTCAGACGCAATAGATGGACGGTTCTAAAAAAAAAAAAGAAAAGAAAAAAAGCAAAGATATAAGACATCGATTATCAATTTTAGTGTGAAAAGAAAAAATTTCAAAGAATAATAGTAAAAATTATATATTAATAATTCGTTGACCGCGCTGAATTCATTGTGTTCTCTTATCAGTTAAGACAATAAAGCATCAAGTGAGTCACGAGACTTGAGGATGGATAGGTTAGTTATATAAAAACAATGATATCTGAATGGTTACGTATATGCAATAATACCGTGCATAATTTTTTGTATAATTTAATATTATTTATCAAAATTGAAAAATATTAACGAAAACGTGCAATATAAAGTGTTAACATGTTCGTGAAACACCTTTTCAATTTTCAGAGGCTAAAACAAAACGTGATAGAGAAAGATATCGATGAATTTATTTATTGCATTACGAGCAATTTAAGTTTGCTTTAGACGAAGCGAGACGAAGAGAAGAATAGAATCTCGCTCCCCATTTTGCTTTATCTAACGCGAATTTCAATTGCTTGTAATAAATATGTATAATAAAATCGACATATTTGCTTTGATCTGAACCAAAGATGTTTGAATAGATTCAAAGAAATGTATTATACATTTACGTACGTATACACAAGTTTCACAATTAAACTGGTGTTGATTGAAATTTGCTGCATAAAGGATCGCGATTAGGGTGAACATACGCAATCACAATGGCGTCTATAAGGTGATGAAAAATTGTCAAGAGATCGGAAGTAGTATCGTGGGCGGTGGTGCACTCCACAATGCAGTTACACAATTATTACATGTTTCTTCTTACGCAAGTCGAACACTCCATCATTATCTATGTATCGAGGTCGTTGTGTAACAAAAACGTGATAATTTAAGGCTGTTTTCAGAACAAATTCTTGGAAATGCATAATTTTTACAACATTTCGTGCCTATTTCAAAATCGAAGGTAGACGAGCCACGTGGTTCGTCGCTTCATTTTAAGAGTAAGAGTGCAACATGGGGATTGGGACGCGTTAATTGAGATTTGAAAAAGAAGAAATTCAACGTATTAAAGTTCAAGTACGCTTTGTTTATTCCTAAATGCAATAAAGAGCTTTTGTTTCAGAAAAACAAACGATATTTTCATCCAATCCTCTACCTGCAATACAGAATACTCTTCTCTTATAATGAGCACAACGTATACATGTGTACGCGTATACATAAAGTCGGTGTACAATGGGAACGACACGCATTCGAGCATCGCATTCTTGCATCGTATGAATCATTCCGCGAATAAAAAGACGATACTATTGCTTGCATCCGGCACAAATTGTTTTTTTTTTTTTTTAAGAATTGTTTTCTTTTATATATATATATACACACACTTATACATATTAAATCGACCAATTTCTATTTTATATAACTTTTAATTTCAATTTATATTTTGTTGATTTATATTTACGAAAGAAATAATGTTGCTTATTTATTTTATACAAGGAAGATCAATTTTTCTCCTCCTCTATTCTTGTCTCTGCATACGCGTCTGGTACAGTTAAAACTCGTTTTGCATGCAAGATTCGTACAAAAGAAACGCTGTATTGATTGTAGCGCGAAGATCGAGAATGGCGAGCCGCAATTTGCCACACCGTAAATTTTATATACCTCTTTTTTCGCCATATTCGTCGGTCAACGATCCTCTGCTGCCTTCCATTAATATTCTTCGAATGTCGACTAATATCCTGCAAGAAGAATTTCCTTTCAGCTCCTCCTCTGAACTTTGCATCTTTTATCGTGACACATAACCTGATTATAATCCTGAATTTTAAATCAGTTTATAATATTATTAAGTTGAAACAATAATTCAAATAATTCAATCAAATTTCTTTTTGACATGTTTTTTCTTTTTTTTGATTTTATGATCATTAAAGAATATCTATATCTAAATGATAAGATTTATTCTTAATATTGTAAAGTGTTTTTTTATAGAAAAAATATTTTCGTAACGATTTCCCCTTTATTCCTATAATTTCCATTTGTGTTCGTAAACCATAAGAAATTTTTCCTTCTTTCCTCTTTATCAACATTTATAAATTCATTTCATAGAAATCCACATAATTTTTATATTATTTCAATAACTTATAAAAGAAATAATTCCACGTATCTATCTTTCGTAAAAAAAAAAATTATCTCAATCGTTGTATTAAATGAAATATCGTTGTATTATATGAATTACAAACTTCTCGCCGATTTCGCAAGATGTCGTTAATGAAGTTACGACCGATTGTATTGACGTGAGTTACCATATTAGTAGGCGAACCTGTTAACGTTATATATTTTTTTTTATCTCCTTTCTCATCGAATTTCCGTTACCAATGTTGCACAAACAATCCCAGTGGGCGAGTTTCCTCAAACAGAGTTCAACATCGGCAAGGTCGGTATGCTCAATCGTCCGGTTAAGATGCCTTGTAAGGAGGGACAGCGAGGCCGTTTCGTTCGAAAACGCTCCTTTCTTTCGGTCCTACATTCGTTTCTCGGAATCTATCGCTGTGGGAAAATGTGTGTCGCGAGAAAGACGCCGAGATCGCATTATATACACGTCTACTATTAAAAAGAAGTTTGGCAAGCTGTCGAAGGAAATCTTTCTCTCGATCATCCAGGTTATCCAGATTTTTTTTACCATTAATGCTCAAATTACACAGTGGATATTTACCGACTATTGATACCGAAGCGCGTCTGTCTTTTCGTTTTCTTTCTTTATCTTTCTTCTCATCGTTTATACCGTATTATGCACAACTCATTTGTTACTCATTTGACAAATAGAATGAAATCAATTTGTTCTTCGTATAGGGTAAATATGCGTGTTGTGCAATCGAGAAGGCGCATTATTCGCGATGAAACAACGTGAATATTCATTACTTGTTACTTGAAGTTGTTATTTGAAAAAAAAAAAGAGGAAGAATTTCTCTTAGTTGTCATCATTTAAAACGTTTCTTTTTTCAGGACCACAGAAATTTCTGCCACCGTTGGTTTATCATTGGCGGTTGGGACGATGCCTAGCAGCGCTACAAACGATCCTCGGTGTCGCGATTACTGTTTTATCGTTATGGTTACTCCTTTGGGCGCCTCATTTGCCAATCACGGATAACCCTTACTGGAGTGGGATGCCGGTAAGTATTTCGACAATAATCGACAACCATCTTTCATTTTTTATCCCTAGAAGAAGAGTCAAGGAATTTCACTCTTTTATTTGTAGTTATTGTTCTCGGGTAGTTTTGGCATCTGCTTACTATGTTGCTTCAAGAAGGAATATCCTGGTATGAGCCCTGGATTCTGCCTCACGTCGACCAAGGTGATAATTCATTCGTTCTTAAGAATAACATATAAAATATTTTATCCCGAAACACCAGTCCATATTTCATAGAATTTTCCGTGTTTTTAAACAATTTATCGCAAATATTTATTCAATTAAAATAATTATCTTTATAACTTTTACAATATGTTTAAAATACGTTTGAATATAATTGATCTTCGTTTCTTTTAAACAGATAATCAGCGTGTTTTTAGCTATTCTAGCAACAGTGACGTGCTCCATCGCTTGCGTATTCTCTGCGATACACCTGGCGCGCTTAATGGGTCTGGAATGCAACCCGGCACGCGTATTGAATGCTACCTGCGTGTGCAAGCCCCGAGAGAATGCATCAAATTCCACCGAAACGGCAGTCAGATACATTGACCTGAACTGTCCTGAAGTTGAGAGTATCCTGACCATCCTTCTAATTTTCTCCTCCACTTGCAACGCACTTGGAGCCATGGTAACTGGCTGGTACACTTATTTGCATTGGAGCACTAGGCACAAAAGACCGAAATACATGCAGGTCAGGACAAATCCGATCAGTGGGAACAATTTTCTGAGCAGCAGGCCGATATACAATCCGAGCGAACGATGACAATCTTTACGCGAAACTGACCACGATATCTCGTATCTTCGTTACTCCTCTTTAACGATGGACGATGGAGCGTTTTAAAGTGGTAAGTCTCGGACATGTGTGAACAATAATAATGGATTTCGACAAATTCGTTAATGAATATTTTTTTTTTAATACATTATAAGACGATTAACGTTTATTAAAAGATTAGCGTTTATTTATAAGAGAGATAATAAAATATTGAAATAACGTGTGAACTAGTCTCGGATGTGAAAATAGATCTGCGCATGATTTCTCAAGATTATTTGTATGAACTTTTCGAGAAGGATCGTATTGTTCTTGTTGTTGATGCGAACCAGTAATATTTTCACATGCACAAGCATCAAGACAAATCAAGACAAAGATCGTAATAATAGAATTTATGTGTCAATCTTAATGTGTTCTTTGTATATTTATTACACGTCGAAATAAAACGTATCAAATAAGCGATTATAAATTTTTAAAATGATGGAACGGGACTCTATTTTTTAGACATTCATCGGTAATATATGAAGAAACATAATTTTTGCCTCGTATATACGTATCGTTAATATATGATTGATTAAAAAAAAGAAAAAATTAATTCTTCCGATGATAGATATTTTTAAGGAAACGAAATGTCAATTTCTATAATATTGTAAACGATGTAATAATTAATAACAATAACGGGTCATTCCATGCGTGATTAATCTCCGTATGGATCGTCAGTATTTTAGATGTAATTAGTAATTATAATTGAGCGTAAATTGATTGTATTTTGTGCACGTGTTTCGTTTAAGTGCGTATATTTTGTGACCATAAACAAGAATGAATGAAACGCTTCTCTAACTTTACTTTAATGTTGTCGATTTTATACCTCATCGTGATATACGTGTATTTTAAGAAATTTTAATTTTTTTAGAATCGTTCAAATCTGTAAAAAGAAGATCTTTTTCATCATAAACGGATAAATAAATTAATTATAGGATAAGATATTTAATAGATAATTCTTTTATTTGTCCCCTTTCACTTGAATCATAATCTTTTGTTTCAACACGATTCCTTTTTGATCTCGTTTATGCGAATCTCTGGTATAATAGCGTGATCATTGGATTGTGTTTCCCAAGAATTGTGTAAAACTTTTATCAGCCTACTTAAAAAAAATTTTTCATCAACACACAATCAGTATTTACAATCTTATCAATCGTATTTGTTTTAAGAATAATTTAATTTAAATGTAAATTAATGTGTTAATTAATCGATCAAATTAAAAATTGTGATTTGATGTTCAACGCTGTTTTTAATAATAATTCTTAATTGGAAATAAATTTAATAATATATGCACAATAAAATAATATACACTTATATGATTTAAATTGTTAAATTTTTTTATATTAATAACTACCTGTTATTAACCGATTCTTTTTCATTATTATCACTTTCAGAAAATGTATGCTGCGTCTGATCATGTAATATTACGTCCTGTTCTATAAATTTATCTGTTAATTCCAGTTCTACTTCCGAGGTTGAATTTTTCCTCTCATCTACGTGAACTTCTATCGGCGCATTTTCTATTTCTACAATTTCCTCTGAATCATCTATAATTTTGAAAAAATTATGACTTTATTTTAAATTAAATCTTACCGTTTACTTACCTTTAAGACCTATTTTCTCTGTTATCGATCTTTTGGATAAAACTGGCAACACTTTTTTCCATTTCAACGTGTCGGACATCTCCTCTCTTTTTTTCGCTATTTTAAATAATTTCCGCCGTTCTTCAGTACGTTCATGGCGCAATTGTATCTGAACAAAACAAATAATATATGAAAAGTTAATAAGTTTTCTTTATGAACATTATCCTTGATAATGAATCGATAATTACCTTTAAATCGTTATTAGCCTCTCTCAATGAACCGGTAAGTGATATCATGTAATAAATAATAAGTATCATGAGAACAATTAATGGAATTACTATACCAGGAGAGGCAATGTAATCAAGACACCTGAAACCAAAAGGAATGGAGTGTAATAAAAACGTTTCCTTTAATAAAAAAAAAAAAAAAGAACGAATTTACACAACTATAACACAACTTTTATTATATAATATACAATTTTAAAAGTATTAAATACAATTTAATTCAATTACATCTACGTACACGCATACGCAATTAATATAAAAAAATTACTGAAGAATACCTCTTAATTAAAGCAGGAAGGGAGTCGGTGAGTTTTTTCGTCGCTACGTGATAAATTTTCTTGTAACCGGAGAATGGGCCGCAATACAATGACGGTTCTACCCAAACTATAGCGTAGCCAACAGGTAGAACGCACAAAAATAACATTATTAACAATAGAGCGAAGTAAAAGTTGTTAGATCTGAAAGAAAGAAATAACATTTCAAAACGACAAAAAGATAAATAATACAAGACTAATGAATTTTTTTTAAGAGTTGTTAAAAAAAAAAAAAAAAATAATGATAATTTCCAAAACACAAATGTACCTGGAGGCTCGAAAAACTACTTCGTGTGGTACATTGCAAGTCATAACAGCCCAAGATCTAACGTACATGAGGATTCCAAGTTTGAAAAGATTTAACACCATTAATCCAGGGCTAAAGAACATTCCCATCCATATCATCCCTTGATTAAGCACCAAATGAAGTATATTTTCGGCGATTTTGAAATCACCGTATTGGGGGAATTGTTTCTCAAGATCCCAACACCAGCAACTGTTCATGAATCGTACGAAGACAGCGCGAATGAAATCTATAGTTAACGTATTTGCTATGATAATTATCTGTAATAAAGAAGAAAAAGAAAATTTTAATAGTTCTTTTATAGAAGAAGAACGATTGGTAAGAGATGCTTATAGACATTTTTAAGATTTAACATTTTTAAATGTATTCAAAACATTGAATCAAATCAATTTTATTAAAGATTTCTTTAACGAATGTTATTGCTATTGTTATAAAATTATTCAATTGTGTGAGAGAATCTTTCTAAGAATCGCGAATATAACAAAAAGTAACAAATAATTAAGAAATAAATTCACCAAGTCCATTACAGTAAGCTTAGCAAGTTCTTGCCCAAATACCGTTTCCCAGCACGAATGGCGAAGCTTCTTTCGAGTTTTCACATCTAATCGTTTCGATGAAGAAACTATAATAAAAAGAATATAAAAAAATGTACAAAAAATTAGATGCGATTAAAATATATATAAATTGTTTCACTACGTACTTGCATCTTGTGTAGTCGTGCAAACCTGTTCGAAACACTTTATGACGTGTCTTGTATCTTTTTCTAATGGAGGAATCACACTCTCGTCTAATGTTGAAGATTCAAGAGCGGTAGAAATTTTATCGATCATTTCTGTAGAAACAGATTCCTCGGCAAATTTGTTCGTTGCGGATTCGATACCTGTATTTAACGTTGTAAGTATCAAATGTGGATAATTATCCTGTGTCGATAACGTTGTTGAATTCTCCTCCATTTCTCTCTCTGAATTTACATGGGAAATTTGAGTTACGTTATCGATATCTGTGGTTGTACTTATATTATTATAATCTATTTTTTCAATCGTTTCATCCGAATAAATTGTAGATTCGTTGAACGAGATACCAGTCGTAAAAGTGGTGTTAGCTTCTTCGTTTAAATCTATAAAAGAAGTTTCGGTAAAATTTTCTAAAACGATGAAAACAGTTGTTGCATTGATGTTATCGTTCTCAATTATCGTAAAATTGGCTTCCTCGGTTGTATTCTCGAGTTGAGGAAATGTAATTTCACTCGATTCGTTTGTTTTAGCGTAGTCGTAATTATCATAATAATCTTCGAAATTGTACATTTCATCTAGCAACTTTTCATCGAGTATCGGGTTCAGGTATAAGTTTGTTGGCATCAGTGAAAATTTTGGAAGAGCTGAATTAATCGAGAGACAAAAAGATTCTTGGTAAATGTTACGTATTGAAAGAAAGAGATTAGGGATTAAGAGATTATATAATAGAAAGTAGAAAAAGAAAAATATGCGCATTTGAGAATAAAAATTTGAAGAATTGTTTCCATTGTTTATTTTTAACAGCCATTATAATTGAGAATAAAAGTTATTATTATTTTCGATGTAATTTTCAATTTTAAAAAAAAAAAAATATTCTTTTTTTATTCTCAAATTAACAATTATTTTAATAAATACGTACAGATAAGTGAAATGAGCAATCGGGTGGATTCGGATAACGATTCAATTCAATTAATTCCATACTTTTGGTTTGGAAAAATTCTGATCCATTCGGTGCAAGATTTATAATATTTTGGAAATCGAAAAAAATAAAGGTATAATATAAAGAAAAAAAAAACAAGAAAAATAAATAAAAAATAGAAACTTTTATTCTTTTCTAATAAGATAAAAGATAAAAATTAGAAGTAAAAATATAGGATAGAAATGAATAAGAAAAATGGAATGAAAACGTACTTGGTTCAGGAATTTCTTTTTTATATTGCGTTCCAGTTATATTATTTGCCAAGATTAAACTTAAAGATGCTATGGTCACCAACTGTTGCGATTTCGACATACTTTCATCACATTTGACAGGCTTATACGTGCAATTCTTAATTGATTCATCTCTTAATCTTAATTTCTATAACGGATAATATAACGAATTTTTTTGATTTCACATATGATACACGATTCACTTACCGTTGAATCAATTTTTTCAAATAAAGCAAATATTAAAGAATAGAGATTCAGCATGTTCAAAAGCAATATTCTGAAAACAAGTCGACCGAATGAAGAATTAATAATCTCAGAGAGAATGAATAAAATCAGAGAGGAAATTTACCGTGCAAGCTGCAAACGCAGCTGCTTTCTGGGATGATAGCTCTCCAACAGGCCCAATATCTCGAAGAATATAGGGAACGCATATGTGATTAGTGACAACACGACTGTAATTTCGTTCTGACGCCACCAATTACTCTGTTCGAGTTCCTTGGAACTTCGTGCAACAATTTTCACTACGACATACGCTGACAATCCCAATAACGCTATCACTGATACATTAACGAAGATCCTCATCAATATTATCTTCCAACTGAAAATTTTATCATTAAATTAGCATTAAATTCACGAGTGATGTGAAATTATAATAAAATCCGTATTAAAATAATTTCAGATATGACAAAATTATAATTAGAAATTCATATAAAATTCACTCGATCGAAAACGAATATGTAAATAATAGGTACGTGTAATATATCGTAGTACATTTTTACGTATTATTATATTTATTACAATATTTAACATATATAATTAATTAATAATAGGGATCGGTCAATCAGTTTACATACTTTTACTTTTATTAAATTTGACATGTATCTTTTCAACTCTTGATACCAAAAAAAATACGTATAAAATTTAATAAAAATAAACTTTGTAAAAACATAAATATATTGCAAAATAACAATGAAATACTTTTTCGAATGCTCTCACTTTCTCTCATCTTTTTCCTTCTCGGCCTCTTCCAATAAAGCTTCTTTGAATCCAAGCACTATGTTCGCCGTTCTATTATGTGCGGTTTCAGGATTGCCGATCATGAAATCCCAACCTGTGAACAATCTCCAGGAAAACGCGCATTCGTCCTCTTTTTCACTGAGTTTGCTCAACCGGGAATTTTCTGCCATCCTAAGAGCATCATTTCGTATCGTTTCATGATTAATGGATTTTTAAAAAATTTGTTTTCACAACAAAAACGTATTAAAAATCTCGACGGATTTTGCCTCGATTCTGATCAAAGTATGAATCCTTTTCGTGTAAAATGTATCGAGATATTTTAATATTTCAATAAATTTAAGATCTGGTTGAAAATGTATTCGTGAATTATTTATTATCAGGCGAGGTTCAATATTCGAATGAATCGTTGAGAAATCGTTCGTATCAATGTTATTGAATTAATTATCTCTCAACATTTTGAAGTATTCGTTATGGATAATTATAATAGGATCACAAATTATTTGTTTAACGCACACAATTTTTTCCACATCAGCTAGCGAAAATTATCGTCGCAAAAATATTCGAACAAATTAATCAAATTTTATTCTTATCATTATAAAATTAAAAGTATATATTTTGCATCAAATAATTACAATTTATGCTTCTACCAACCAATCGCAACGAATGCAATTTTTAAACTGAAAAAATATTAACTAATAACATTCGTGTAAAATAATCAATTTAATTAATTCGAAATATCAATAAAATGGATTTAACGGTCTTACTTGCGCAATATGGCGAGGAAACTGTAGATGTAAACCACCAAATTAGTGACGAAATAAGCTAGGGGTAATCTGTAACCGTTTTGCGAATCTTGGTTGGTGTACCAGCCGTAAAAAAAATGGCGAGTACTTCAAGACCCCTTCGAATTCCCACAGGGTTAACAAGTGCTTCGACTTTATTTTCTCCTCTCTGAGCATGATCTTCCGTTCCCCCGCCGCAGTTACGTCTGCTGTGAGCATCTGCACATCGGGAAGAAGAAGACTTGACTGAAACTACTCTCTTCTTTTCTTTTAATAAATCAACATTATTTTTCGCCAAATATTTCTTCAGATTCAATATCTCTTAGTAAAATCGTTTTTACTTGCTTGTTTATTTACCGATTTGTCTGGAACGTATCATATTTTTTTTAAATTGTTCGATCAATTGAAATTTTTACCGTACCTCGGGAATCGCAACGAAGGCGACGAGGATAACTGCCATAACGAGGTTGATCCAGAACAGCCATCGAAGGAAAGTGAAGTAGGAGGCCACCGCAGAGCCGAAATGCGACTCGATCTCTTTTATGCGAAACTCCCATGGAATCAGCCACGTTTGAAGATTCACTATCTCTCTACGGCAATATTGCCATTTCTGTATAGATAAATGAAATAAAATTACGAAAGAATTCAATAGAGATCTATCGGTGATATTTCTTAAGCGAATCATTACTTTCGTGGCGAACAGGGAAACACGGGCAATTGCGTCCTTCGTGCTTCGAGTCTGAGCCAACCTCTCCTGAAGGGCACCCTCGTGCCTCCTCACGTACGACTTTGCCTGCCGCACCAGCTTCATCTTCCTACGAAGCGGCCACGGCTGTTGCTTCGCTCCGCTCAACACCTCTTTGTGCAACTTCAACTTTTCGAATATCTGCTCCTGGCTTCCGCTCTCCTCCATCGAGATCGCGGTTCTGCCACATTTTCCGACATCAAGAAAATGCTTTCTTACTTTTCAATTTCATGCTCGTACTTCATTCAATCGTCAAACTAACATCTTTTTTTTTAAATGATCATTTTCATCAAGTGTAATTATAATATGAATTAGAAGTACTAACTCCCCGGAGCTTATGGTGTAAGCGGAAGATCTTCGACGAAGCATAGCCTCAGCTTCGATGCTGAAAGGAGAGGACGGTCGACGTTTTCGCCTACTTTGCCGACGGCTCGAACTCCGTCGTTGCATGATCTCGCACGCCGAAGCGGAGTACTCATCCTCGTCATCCTCCTCCTCTAACATTCGTTAAAAAAATTCGTATAATTCGTTAAATTTGCACGTGTAATTTGGATCGTTCATTGTTGTATAAATCTGTTGAATGAATGAATTACATGAAAGTTAAATATTATTCGTTGTTTGAAGAGACGATTTTAGAAAGAAACTGAAAAGAAAAGAAAAATTAAGTTTATAAATAAGATTGCGTAAAATATTTATGCAAAATTTTAACGTACATATACGAATATTTACAGAATGTAATGATAATAAAAAAAAAAAACGAATCTCCGTTTAAGACTTTATTTCTTTTTATTTCATAAAAATGTTATTTTGCATAAACATGGTCAATCTAGTTATAAGCAATTGAAATTAAGATGAAACGCATGTAAAATAATTATCTATTCTACCTCCATCTTATTTTTTATTTTATATATTTTCGTCTCGACCTCTAGAAACTCTCTCAAAAGATATCTCATGAATAATATTAACACTCTGTATAGGACACGCCTCATCTAAAACTTGAACAATTTTAAATATCTCATTTATTATTCATAGAAAAAGTGTCGAAGAAAAATATTAGTTGATTTAAAGGTGTAGATATTATAATAGGCAAAAAAATATCTTCTACATTTTGAAATATCAAGATTTGAATCGAATAATATTTTTTTCCTATCATAATAAATGTGGTATTTTAAATGAGATATAAAATTTTTTAGTAAATAATAAAACTCTCTGATCATTTTTTTTTTTGTTTTAATTAATACTAAACTTTTTTAGTTTATAAGAATATATAGAATAAAATATAGAACGTTAAGTTGAATATGAATTAATCGCTAAGAATCACTATTAACTCAAATGTTGTATAAATTTTTTTATAAAAATATAATTTTAAAAACTTGTTCCTCTTATATATTTAATTTATTATTAATAATTTTTAATTTCTCTCGTGTTTGTTGTAATGAAATTTTCTAATTTTAATATTTCCTATGGCATATCCTATTGTAATAATAATTGTACGTATAAAAAGATAAATATCAATAAATCTAAATAAAATAAATATATATTGAAGATATTATATTATATACAAATTGTGTTGTAATACCAACTTTTATTTTTTCTTTTTACAAAAATATTTAAACTCTAATGAAATGGCTTGTGATAAACGTTCTTCGATGAATCATTTATAATAATACAAACCAGCTATAGGGATTATCTGCATATCCGTGATATTTCTAATATTTCAATGATATATTTTTTCCCCCCTTTTTTCTTCCTTCACTTAACTCAAACAACTTTCTCTTACATACAGTCTCGTGTTCGCCGACGAAGAAAGTAACTGAGACGGAGACGAAAGTTCCACCTACAGCAGAAACCCAACAATTAGTTGCACGAATTTTACCCGTAAATCGTCCACCTGCATGCATGCCACGTATTGCATTCATAAGCGACCGATCATCCAGTTGATGAACGAACACGATTTTTATTAAATTGATTATAAAAATCAATAAAATTCGAATTTAATTGCAAAGCTATTAATTAGGAAAGAGCTTAACGGTGTTATCTTTAAACGAAGAGATCGATTGATCACGGAACATGCCAAACATATGCGCACGATTCTTATTAAATTGACGATAAACCTCAATAAAATTTCGAATTCGATTTTAAAAAGTTGTTAATCAGAAACTAACACTGTTACCTTTATAACGTGCGAACGAACAACGAAGAAATCGGTTGATCACAAAGAATGCCAAAGCATGTGTTGGAGGATTAATAAAAACGAGATTAGAGACGAAGTAGAGGCGATGGATTCGAAAGGACTGGCAACGTGTCGAATAAAAGACAACCTGGTCATTCCCTAGTGGAAACACCCTTGTGTTAAAATCTATAAATTGATTGTTATGCCTGTTCTATTTGATATTGGGGATGTCGTGTCCGTCCACGGCACAAATCTTCGAAATCACGAAAGCTCGTATATTAGGAATAAGTAGATACTTGATTTAACCATCGTTTCGTTAACTCACTGTTGTATTGGTTAAAAGACAAACGCGTTAATTTAATAACAATATTTCGATTTATAATTGAATAGAAGAGAATATTTAAGATGAAATAAATTTATTTATTCTTTTCTGTATTTGTCAAAAAATAATTTGAAATAACAATTTTTGTAAAATTATTATATTATAATACTTGATTTATTTTTTTTTTATTTATTTATTTATTTCATTACAATTTAAATATTCGTAATTTTTATATGTATAATTATTATTACAATCTTATTATGTTATTAATATCTTATAACGAGCAACGTCAGAAAAAATAAATATTATAATGTTTTTTTTAATTAAGTTAAAATATTACAATAAATGAATATGCCATAGCAAATATAAATAAATACAAAATAAATTTATAATATGCTATAAAGAGGTAACTTTTTAAAATTATATTATATAAAAAAATTTATATAATATCATTGTATTATAATTCTTAATTAATTTCGAAATTTTTATTTTTCATTAGGAATATGAATGATTCGTTTAAAGTATCATATACTAATAGTAATAATTTTTTGAATTAATTCATGTTCTTGCATACTTATGTGTAATTAATTTTAAGAATATGAATTTCGTAGATGAGTGATCAATGATAAAATACATGACAAATGTGTCAATGTAAATGTTCGGAAAACCGAGGTCACATGCGACGTGCCGCACCCTAGATAATAATCATGCTCACGTATAACTCGCATTCTTCACGTGACCCCACCTTACGCTTTCAAGATAATCATTATTTCTATATCAGAATTCCTCATCGTGTTATACGAGATTGAAAAATTCCCAAAATTCTATTTTCTTTTGTATCTGTACTGTTTATCTTATAAAGATCTATAAAGTTTATCGTTATCATTATCAGTTTTATAACACTTTCACTAATATTATGTGGAATAATTTTTAAAATCATTAAAATTGAATTATATGCATCATTATTTCTATTAAAAATTTAAATTTTGTTACATTTATAAATGGAATATTAATTTGAATTCGTTATTATTATACATAAAAATATAATCTTTTATTATTTTTTATTTTTATCAATACAATATTATTGATTTAGATTTTACGTTTATTATATGTTTTATAAAAAGAAGTTTGATATAATTAAAAGTTTTTATATTCAGGAATTTAATTTTCTCAAAACTAATTTGCTAATTAGTATCAAATGCACTCTATGACTACTCATTTTTTGAGAACTTGTCGAGATTCGATAACAGTTTTTGATTCTCACGTAATATTACTTTTTATTCTTAATACATTTACTAATTAAATCAATATGAATAATAGTGGAATTGAAGATAAATTCAATATAAAATTACAAACAAAAACAAATATTCTGTCACAAATTATCTGTAAATTTAGTAAAAATATATAAAGTCTACATCTTATACATGATACTTAAATGACAATTAAGTGAATGTTTGTATGTTTTAAAAGATTGAATGCTTTATAAAATTAGAAAAAATGAAAAGATTCGCTAAATAATGATAAACAATTATTCATTAATGTCATTTTTCGAAAGAATTTAAAAATCCTTCTTAATTGCAGCCAAACAAGATTTTCGTTTATTTATCTCTACTGTCAAACTTTTTCTCCAGTTAAAATATTCGTGTCATATATGTGTAGTATGTTTTTCTCTTCAAGAGATAGAAAATCAAGAATATAATATTCATATTTTTTACATTAGCTGATTATAATTTATATAATAATTTTAAAAAAAAATTATAAAAAGATACTCGATTGATATACTTCATTTGTAATCACGTACATACAACAAAGACAAGGAGCGTAAATAGTGTAAGAAAAAAGTTAAACTAAATGGGAATCAGCGCCATCTCTAGAATGCTTTACACGAAACAAATATAGACAGAGAAAGCATACCACCAGAAGAAGGATAGAGATAGAATAAGAATTGATTGTTAACGCCATCTCTCGACTATCCCATAACTAATCATTTAAAAGCAACTTACGGTAAAGAAAAATTTTATATTACAGAATTTCATACAAATAAATCAAATGTACCATGCATTCTTTCATTCTTCAATTTGAAAAATTTAAACAGAAATTAAAAATAAATATAGACTAATCATATAATGTACATTAGTGATTCAAATAACTCAGGTATTAAAGGTCCATTAATATTTTTATGTTTTTAACATATTTAAAATTCTTTATGTCATTACATCATTATCAATAAAATCAAATATCTTATTGTGAATATAATTCCTTCATATTTATAATTCTGACAGAAATTATAAATACTGCAACGAATTAGCAGTACACACAAAAATAATAGAAATTTTTGAAACAATTAATTTCAAGATTATTTAACAAGAGAATAATAAAAGAAATCCAATTGAATATGATTGAATTTTCTTATCAAAAATTATTATTAACTAATAACAATATACATTATTATAACATACGTTATAATAATATATTATAAATAATATATTTCTTTTTGAAAAAGAAAATCAAATAATATTTCTTAAAAATGAAAATGAAAATATCACCAATAATTTAATAAATAAATATTACTATTACTACATAAACAAATAATCGTTGTAATCGCGAGCGCAGCCAATTAGCTCATAATATTTGCTATAAAATTTACAATTATATATATCATAAATATGATTATGAATTTTAGAGCAAATAATGATTTTCCAGGTCTCACCGCGTGGAGGTTGCTGCGAATTGGAGACCCACCCTATCCACGGTCCCATCCACCCTCCTTTACGCAAAAATTTATTTCAAAACAAGGATAAATCTTCCTTTTGATGAAGATTTGCAAAACGTTTTATCTTTAATCGTTGTGCAACACAAACAGCAAAAGGAATTCTAAGGAAAATCGACGCGAAAAGCTAAACCTGAAAATAAAAATTAAATATTATATATATTATATTCTATTCTATTTATATATAACTCTATATGAGATATAGATACGTATATGTGTCAATATTTTATACATTCGTTATCATGAAAATATAAAATATTGAAAATTATGAGATTAAAAATTGAAAATTTATAGAACCAAAAAAAAATTCATGTATTCCATACAGAATTATATTCATTTTATTAATCATTACCATTTTTAATACCAACTATTACTACTACTATTACTATTATTACTATTACTACTACTACTACAACTACTACTACAACTACTACCATTATTATGCATGCACATGCAAATATATACTACTTTAAGCAATATTTCTACAGCAGCAGTACTACAAGCCATCTACTTATATAATTAAACTTACATTTACAAATATTTCACAAGAATCTTAAAAATTAAACTTAAAAATATTCTAACCATAAATATAATTTACAATATAATCCTTAAAGAACATTAATTAAAAATAGCTTCATTTTATTCAAACCTACAATTGTTTACAATCCCTATCTAAATTAGCCATTCATTTTTAATCCCTATCTAATATAAGTTCAAAGATACCTTCACATATAAAAATTTAAATGATTAGAGAATTTATTATTCAGAAAAATTTTAATAAAATCAAGAGGATTATATCAAATAGAAATATTCTTAAATGATAAGAACACTTGCACGCTGGTTTCTGAAACAAATAAGATCATAAAGGTTAATAAAAATTTTAATATAATTTAATATAATATAATTAAAATTTTAAAATATAATTGTTTTCCAATCGATTTAAGCTTATATGATTTCCTACCTACATAGAATATAATGTATATTTCTCTATTCCCATTGAAAGTA